CTGCTCGCAGTTAGGCATGCTGGTGCTGAGAGGGCTCTATCCTCGTTCAGGGATGTAGCAGGTGCGTTTGGCCTTAGTGTCAATATGTCCAAGACCAAATTCATGGCGGCTGGGGCTGGTATTGTGGATGCCGACCAGACCCCTTTGGATGGTGTTGTTGACCACGTTGAGGCCTTTCGCTATGTCGGTTGTCATGTTACGCCAGACGCCCGGAGCTCATTTGATGTGTCTCGGCGAGTTGCTGCTGCATCGGGTGCGTTCTGTACACTGCGGGAGTCGGTTTTCGGCAGTGATGACTTCAGCATCGCCATCAAGCGCATTGTGTATGGAGTGACTGTCCTGGCGGTCTTCTTTATGGATCTGAGAGTTGGACCGTCAGGCAGCGTGATGTCCGTCGCCTGGAGTCCTTTCACCTGCAGTGTGTGCGCTCCATCCTGAGGATAAATCGTGGCCGGCAGATCGAGGAGCACATCTCCTCTCTCCAGGTTCGCAGGATGTGGGGCGATATGGAGTAGATCGCGGATAAAGTCAGAGTCCGCCGACTTCGATGGCTTGGCCACGTGTCCCGCATGCAAGATCGGATCCCTCGTCAGCTGCTGTACGAGTTACCCTCCAAACGTCCACCGCATGGACCCCGTAAGCGCTAGAAGGATTCAACGAAGTGCGACTTGATGGCTGTTGACATTCCTCTGGAGCAGCTTGATGACATCGTCCAAGATCGACAGGGATGGCGGGTCACCTGCCGTGACGCTGTCGACGCTATTGTCCAGTCCCGCATGGAGCCTGTGGCGAAGCCCCTCACCTGTGGCACTTGCTCGCGCAGTTTTCGTCGGCCACAGGATATTGCGAGGCACAAGTGTAACGCTGTTCGCACGGCCCGCGTGCGCTGAGTATGGCGTTCCCCGCCCGGTGGACAACACGTCTCCTGGTCTGCCCCGTATGAGGCCGCACAGCCGGTCATGGCAGTGGAAGAAGGAGGAGGAAGGTGTGTGTGTGTGTGTGTGTGTGTGTGTGTTCGCTAGGCTTAATACATGTGTTGTTCTTTCTGGCCTCCCTCATGTCGCTCAAATGGGAATCTCACATTAATGTCAAATTATCTCGGTTTTTCATTTACATTGTAGTTTCAAGAAAGTGGCACCTCCTAATGTTCCAGCTCATACTTTCTGCCGAATAACTGACACTTGGCTGACTAACAGCTGCTGCCGTCTGGAGCGCACGATATTCATGTCGGGCAAGGAGTGGTACTTTCTTGCAGGTTTGGGGAGTGGAAGGTTCGACGTGCTCCTGGTATGCTCTAGACAGCAGTCGTGTGTCAGTCAAGTGTCGAGTCACTCGGCAGGAACGCCAACACTTGTATGATTGTATTTGTCACAAAGAACCTTTTCGAGCAAGAGAGTTCAGAATTTTGTGTACTTCAAAAGAGTGATGTTATCATCACAGTACGGAATAGTGACTTCGGGACAGTGCAGAGAAATGCCTCAGGCTCGAATCTGTTTTCCTGCCATTCTTTTTCATTTCATATTTTGTCTCCTTTCCTGCAGAACCTGAACAAGACGTCTCTGCCAATATTGGACATGCAGTAGAAAGCCAGGGAGCTGACGATAAGCTGTTTCTCCAACCGCCACTTAAGCACCAGGTAAGAAGAGACTAGATCAGGGGCATCGGACACGGTACGGTCACTACGGTATTGCCCGTACCACTATTTGCCCCAAGTACCCTGTGAATCAATAAAATGCACTGGTTTGGGCTCTAAATTCCCAAAATTTTCGGCTCAGCCATCCCTCACCCACGAGTAAATTGTACTTCAGTTGGCTGACCGTACCACACTAAATTACCTTCCGACGCCCCTGTAGATGCAAACATCATAGGTAACGCAGGGACAGATTTAGGTCTGGTCATGTTAGGTGTGTGTGTTTGGGGGGGGGGGGGGGGGGGGAGGAGGAGGAGATATGTACCCCTTGAAACATTTAACGTGGGGTATGGTGCGCCGTTGTATTTCATTAAATTTAATGCAATCATATTTGTAAGAAGAGGTTGCAGCGACTTCAGTGATACTCAAATCTTTAATTACAATGAAGTGTGGATGGTCAGGATACAACATTATGATTCAGCAAGGGAAAACTTCCGAGCAGAATGAAGCCGATGTGAGTGTCATCTACTCATGTCTAACTGTGGAAACAGTTATTTTCATGAACCAAAATCACTGCATAGCCAACCTCTTCTTCTACTTTCTCCTCCTCTTCCTCCCCATCCCTGTGCACCCCATGTACTGTTGAGGCAACGAATTGAAAAAGAAACCCAACCAACCCACCCACCCCCCCCTCCAGCTCCTCCTCCTCCTAACTAGCATTCGTCTGCTCCACTCTCTATTTATCTTTGTGCAAAAGACACAATGCACAATATTCTTCACTATTAGGTATAGTTGCAACTTGCAGTGAGGAGTGGTGTATTTCGCAAGTAGCTTACCCTGTCAGAAAATGCATGCCACATCTTGATCAGAGCTGTGCTGGAAAATGTGCTCCATCCATTTTCCATTCTTTTATTCTTTTGTGTTTTTGATAATCTGCAGTGGTCTTTCCGTGGCCGTCTACCTGATAGCTGGCAAGATTTCCATCGTTGTACCATGTACAATGGGCATGCTTACATTGTGTGCCAGGAAGAGGAAAAACGAGTGCTCTACCGGTCTACTCAACCTCTGAACGAAAGTCTTGAGGTGGCATGGACAGGAGTACTCGAATTTGACACCCCACTCTTTTTCCCTTGCAGATCTTTTTGCCTTCACAATGAAAACATGTACTATGCAAGTAGTGATTTTTGGGATGGGAGTAGCCCCAATATCTATGTTGTAGATCTACAGGGAGAATGTACTAGAGAAATACAATGTGATTGTATCCCAGTACAAGCTACGGGTATGAATACATCTTTCACGCCTTTTGGGGATGTATTTATAACCCAGTCAGCGCTTCTAGTAGTATGCTTATGGCGCAACCATTTCTTAGGAGTTATTTCATTAGATACCAGACATGATGGTGCAGTATGGGCAAAATTGGATCCGGTCCGCATTCCGGAGCCGCCGGTCAGCATCTGCAGCACTGACGGTACTCTGTTTGTGATACCAAGCTGGGACCCCAATGATACGCATTGGTCAATCATGAAATTGGATGTAAGCGAGGCGGATCCGCGAATGTCATCATGGTTCGAGATCAAAGTGGACATCTCTGGGACTGCTGGTGTGGCAATGCCTGGCGAGTTTTCATCGGTTGCTGTAGGTAACACGATAGCCATGCCATGGTGGTGCTCCATCTCTGATGTTGGTGTACTTGTGGAAGGTGTCATGTGTGTTGATTGCAGTACGTGTACAGGCCAGTGTTCTGTCTTGCCGTTGACGTCGAGTACATCCCTTGTCCGCCAGTTGATGGTGGATGGCGATACGCTTATTGCACTCCATAATGATCACTCAGTGTATAAACTATTCCGCTACCTGACCATTTGTAAACACCAGTGATCGATCGGCTTCTACATGCATGTATGCCAAGGCGGTGTGCAATGTAGATATTCTGCTGCGGCTAGGTCATGTGATGGACAACTGGTGCACACTGAGTTTTATTGAACATACCCTGTTCTACTCAACAGCTCTCTACACATACATACTCATTATAGTAGTCTTTTTTTTGTCAGTGATTGACAAAACCCCAGAGGTTGAATTGGTCAGCAGCCACATTACTTACTTCCACTAATTGGCTCTGTGTGTGCGTGCAGATGTGTACCGTACATGCACGCATAATGGTAACTTTGCACTGGTCCAGCCAGGAGTAGGGTCACTTTGAGAATTATGTTACGTCGGTCGGTCGAGAGAGAGAGAGCGCGCGCGTGACAGTGACATAGAAAGAGCGTGCGCGCGCGCGCGCGAGAGAGAGAGAGAGATAGAGAGAGAGAGTGGGAGGGAGGGAGGGAGAAAGGGAAGGAGAAAGGGAGGGAGGGAGAGAGAGAGAGAGAGAGAGAGAGAGAGAGAGAGAGAGAGAGAGAGAGAGAGAGAGAGAGAGAGAGAGAGAGAGAGAGAGAGAGAGAGAGAGAGAGAGAGAGAGAGGGAGGGAGGGAGGGAGGGAGGGAGGGAGGGAGGGAGGGAGGGAGGGAGGGAGGGAGGGAGGGAGGGGAGAGAGAGAGAGAGAGAGAGAGAGAGAGAGAGAGAGAGAGAGAGAGAGAGAGAGAGAGAGAGAGAGAGAGAGAGGGAGGGAGGAAGGGAGGGAGGGAGGGAGAGAGGGAGGGAGGGAGGGAGGGAGGGGGAGGGGGAGAGGGAGAGGGACAGAGAAGGGAAAGGTAGAGCAGCTGAGCAACTGTGTCCCAGGACCGCGCCCTGACACTGCGGGCACTGGGTGCAGCACCGAACGCGTTAACGGTAGATATATTTCGTCTTTGTGACCTCCTTCAATCTCCTTTCCTGGCATAGAAGAACTGTATCCTCCTCAATCGCATGCAAGTGTTTTATTTCAATAGGGGCGGGGAGGAATGAGTTGTGCAAGCCGAGGTCTCTTACCGTCTTCGACTTCCTCGTTCCAGACTTTTCCTTGTGTCATGCTCTTGGGCTGTGGTGCCGTCACCAGTGGTCACGATCTGTGTCACCTTTCCAAGTACTTTCCCATATGCCTGGGTTACTTGGACCTCATTGGCTTCCTTGTCATTGGACATGTGTTCAGTCCGTTCGTTTTGCGAACTCAAACTAATATTACACAACTGGCCCCCAACTCTAACAATGACTGTCAGGACATGCAGTTCTGCGGACAGAGGTTTTATTACCGTTATACACTATACTATAGCAAACATAACAGGCATGTCATCCACAAAACGTGACACGGACCCGTATCGTAGATCTACCCACCCGTACCGGCCAGGGCCACCCTCAGGCCTCACGATCACGGAGTCACCATGGTCACGCACTGCTAGCTGCTGCTGCTGCTGCGGTCGACCTACGCGGTATAAATTAATTATTATAATTTTAGTAATTAGTAGCTCACCTCGGCGAAACGAGCACCATTTCCGCACTGGAGCTTCGTGGTGAAATATTTTTACTGCAGCGCTAGCTGTAGTTTCTTCAGTTTTTCATGCTACAGCCAGTACAGGCAGCTTGTAGACGAGTTGTTGTTGGCAGCGAGGTGGTGTTACAGTTAGTTTAGCCGTCTGCTGCTTCGTGTCGAAGTTTGTTTGGTTGCAGGCTGTGTAAGAATCTGTTTGTTGGCCAAAGGGTTTCATCGAAGTTTCCTTGTGGCTCGGAGGCTCCATTCGACTGCTCTATACCGTCACGACGTCGAGAACTGCTACAGCCTATCCGCCTACGACGTTCGAAGTCGTGTCCAGGATTCAAGCAAACCGTGACTCCTGGCTGCAGCCTGCAGGAGCGCTCGTCGCTGGACGTTCATCGTCCCCGTTTGTCATGGTGTTCCAGTGATTCTGGGTAAGTGGTTGGCCAGTGTTGTTCTGTTCTTGGGGATTGTTGTTCGTTCTCGTTTCCTGAAGTGGCCGCAGTGCACCGGTAACCAAGGTAACGGGTATGCATGGCTCATTCTACTGTGAGCGTCTCAACAACTAAATGACTATTTTGCTTGTGTACTGCGATTGCGAGTACATTCAGTAAAGTACGGTGAATAGGTGAATAGGTGAATAGGTGAATAGGTGAATAGGTGAATAGGTGAATAGGTGAATAGGTGAATAGGTGGATAGGTGAATAGGTGAATAGGTGGATAGGTGAATAGGTGGATAGGTGGATAGGTGAATAGGTGAATAGGTGAATAGGTGAATAAGGTGAATAAGGTGAATAAGGTGAATAGGTGAATAGGTGAATAGGTGAATAGGTGAATAGGTGAATAGGTGAATAGGTGAATAGGTGGATAGGTGAATAGGTGGATAGGTGGATAGGTGGATAGGTGAATAGGTGGATAGGTGGATAGGTGAATAGGTGAATAGGTGAATAAGGTGAATAAGGTGAATAGGTGAATTGGTGAATAGGTGAATAGGTGAATAGGTGGATAGGTGGATAGGTGGATAGGTGGATAGGTGGATAGGTGAATAGGTGAATAGGTGAATAAGGTGAATAGGTGAATTGGTGAATTGGTGAATAGGTGAATAGGTGAATTGGTGAATTGGTGAATTGGTGAATAGGTGGCTAGGTGGATAGGTGGATAGGCGGATAGGCGAATAGGCGAGGATAGGCGGATAGGCGAATAGGTGTGGCTTCTCTTCACTCAGTAGAGTCGAGTCGAGCCAGCTGTAGTTCCCGATGCCGAAAAGCAGGCTCGCTCCCCTACATGGCTTCTTCCCCTTGTCTAGCCTCCAAGAGGAACAAAGAAGTATGGTAGCCGACTGGTCGAAATAATAAATAAATAAAGCAAGGTTACACCCACTGGTCTTTTATTCGAGCACGTAATCACGGTCGTTTGCACGGAAGGGCGTCTGAAACTCAAAACACCATACAAGCTGTAGATCTACCATGTGAAACCTTGTCAGTGTGTGATAGTGCATGTACTGTAGTGGACATGGAAATCCAGTCGATGGACCGGGGCCTGCGCCCTCAGCGCGTACGGTGCGACCAGCACGCTGCGCTGCATCACATACTAGTAATGCACGTTCCGCTTATCCACGGCTGCATGGCCAGTGCCCTGGGGCCGCTAGACGTGCGACCGGATTTCCATGTCCACGACAGTACATCAGTCCTGGAGATGTCCTAGATAGGACATCACGGAACCAAGCATACATCTATGCTGTTCCCATAGTAATCGTGACACGTGGCTCAAAACTTTGTGTCGTGTCCGAGGAAGATGAACATGTCGCACTCAAAACAAACGCAACGAAGGCATTTCGTCACAAAAGTCGTCGTTCTCTTGGCGGCTTGCCTCATGCGAGTTGAGATTCGTATCTTGCCTTTTGCCTTCACAAATTTTATTTTCCTCGTTGTGGAGTACGCCTGGACAAAGGAACTGACAAGCGAATCGTTTTGGTCGCATTGAAAATTGCAAGTGCACAAGAGGATTGGCGAAGTAATTATTTGTGTTTGCACTTTCAGCAGAGCAGTAGCTGCCGCTGCGATGAAGTTTTTACTTTCGCCATTGGTTTCAGGCAGCAGAAGAGTCCGGCTGAAAGCGATGGCGATACGTCCATGACCACCACGCCTAATGTGGTACGTCCCATGTTGATGTCCAAGAAAGACCGTCCAAGGTCCAGTTTTAGCCAAGAGCTGTCGTATCCAAAAAATCGAAAACGCCAACAGCAAGCTTTGGCCAAAATAATATCTTCCAGGCAGTAATTTACGGGCCTAGCGCCTGCTGCCTCGTCTTCCTCCTCTGCATGGCCAGGTTTGGGGCGAAATGAACGCACGGGGCGTGAAGAAACATTCCAAAGGCAAAACATTCAAAATGGAACCAATCATTTCCAAAGAAGCGCCGCGTGGCTACGAGAAACCCTACATGAAATCCCCAAACGAAAACGGCCATTCGGTCGGGTATTCGATGGCGTCATATTCTGATGCAATGTGCGCGGACTATACAACATATCCTGGACTTTAGCTACATGTAGTACAAAATAGATCAAGGAAAAATGTTTGATGGTTTGATAAGCTGTACAAACGCCGTAAATCATTCTGGCAAGAGGAGCATTGCATCAAAACAATGCGGTCAACTTGAAATTCTGTTGGGACAAAACTGTATACGGGAGCTGCCTACTCTTGGGGGTGATGCACTCTTGTCAATGTTCAGTGCACACTCTTGGAACCTTGCCTCCACTGAAACAAAAGTGTGAAGCGCTTTTTATATTTTAGGGTTTCTTTGGAATCTGCACCCGCTGAAACCATTCTGAAAGGGGAAGTTAAAGGGGAAGTAGGGTGAAAAATTTAAATTCCAGGGTCGGTAGAGTTTCGGGCGCTGAGTCGAATGGTGTTGGTCCCACGTGTCTCCGACAAAGCGTTCTCGAGATATTTCCGTTTGAAAAACTGAGTTTCGGGGGCTGTGCCATGACGTCATGCGGCCGCGCCACACCCTCCGCAACGTCATAGCGTGCAGCTAGGTCAAAAAGAGTGCATGAAAGCAATAGTGTCAGTGCTATTTCGAATGATTTGGCGACCGATAGTCGGTGGTGCAAGCGACCCCGAAGACGTAAATCAGGGGCGTCACAGGGTGGCTGTGAGTGGTACGACCGGGGGTCCTGGGGTGTAAGGATTTTTCGGCTACCAGGCCACGTTTTAGCACTCTACAGCCGCAAAGGAGGGTTCCCCTAGAACTTATTAGACAACCCCACCCCAGCTCCAAAAACATACTTCTCATGGATTTTTTGTATTTTCTGTACATCGTAGGTAGCCAAGCAAGGCAAAAGGAACCCATTCAATGATTCAGGGCCATTGCCCTCGAAAAAATCGCAAAATCCGAAGTAGAAGCCGGCTGCGCGTTCTAGCGCCAGCCGCTGTGCAAAAACGTATGTCGTGTCCTGCAAAAGTCTGCTGCGTCGCGTGCACTATGTACACGGCCGGCCTGGACAGTCGCGAAGTAATTTTAGTTGTTTTTAGAGAGAGAAGAAGATCCTTTTTTTTGTTCGGTGGGATTGAAAGATCTGCCAGTGGACCGGAGAGCTACAACACTGGAAGCAGAAGAAAGCCCTTGCGGAATCTTCTCTGTCTTCGTGGCAACAGGACTTTAGTTTGCGAGAGACTTTCGTCCAGTCGTCGCGGACGCAATTCTTGTTGCTGCTACCAGAAAACTCGGGGAACGAAACGATCGTAAATCGTTATAATATAGGTGAAGCGGGTCGGTGAACAGCTGCAGAATATTCTGCCGCCGTGGAGCAGCAGTCCAAACACTTTTCAGCTTCGGAGAATGTAGCGCTTCCCTTTTCCGTTGACAAGCGCTGCGTTCGCGGGTGTAATGCATTTTCCAATCCGCTTGCAGTAGATCGTCAGGAGCCAGAGGTACTAGGTAGGTGTCGTTGTGGAAAGAATAATTATGTTGTAGCTGACAAGTGACATACATGTAGTGTCTCTTGACGTGCTGATCGCCATTGTAACATGGTAGAGCTTGGGGATGCGTACGTGAGGAATCCATCGTCTGGTTGTCTCTACCCGTGACTCCAACCGCCTATCGTAATGGATAGCCGCCTGGGGTCTTGGGCAATAGCTAGCTGCTAGTGCTAGGCATCAAGTCTGTATGCTTCTTGCAATGAAAGTAACAGTTGCGATGTTTTGTACAAGTCCGAAGATCCTTGAATTTTTTTATTGCTTTTTCGGATGAATTGGGTGGACCATCCTGGACGAAAAGTGGTACGACCATGGTCGTAGTGGTCGTACCGTGTGTGACGTCCCTGTAAATCCTTGTGACAGTGAGGATGCAGCCATGGCTGACCTTCATGAGTTCGGCCTGGGGCTGAGAACCTCGGTATTCAGCTGAGGAAATGGCCGCTCGGGCCCTCAAGAGTGAGCGCTACTGAGTTTCCGACGGATGAAGAAGCAGCAGCTATTGCAGACGAGGCTGATATAATTATCAGATCGCTGGAGAGCAGAGTCGCCAAAATGGAGAAGACTGATGCGAGTGCTCTAAATGTTGTTCCATACCGATTCGCCTAGACTCCAGTAGCCTGCCACATGGTGATGTTTTGTTGCGAAATTATAACTTGGCACATTTCGGAGTACTCAATTGGAGAACAGTGCAGGCTCTTTGAACCACTGGCACGACTCTTCGATCGCAACGCTACGGGATCTGAAAGTTCTAGGCCCGGGAGCTGTTCGCTGTTTTGTCACTTGCCACAATTGTGCACTCATCGCTGTAGCATAAAATAATGAGGCGGAAGCGGAAAACTAAAATTTTCTTTCTCAAAGCACATCCACCGGCACCGGCAAGGAGAAACGCACGTTCTCTGACTACATGACTGTACAATACGACTGATACGATACGACTGATACGAGTGTAGTACAGTACATAGCAAGTTCGTGTGTTGACTAGTTTTCTGAGTCTTGTAGCTACCCCAGCATGGCAGTGCGGGAGTAGTTCCGTGTGTGATGAGTTTGCTGACTACTCTACATCTAGCATGCACGCAGCGCATTGCTAGAGCCGTAGAGGCCAGTGCATGCCGACGGAAAAAGTCCAACTCGGAAACGGCTAAAATATGGTATAACCTCGAGGTTTACCGAGCTGAAAATCACAGGGTACGTAGTGTTTGTAACACTGAATCGAATGGTCTTGGTCCGAAGAAGCTGCGACAAACGGTTCCCCAATCGAACGCGCTCCGAATATGGCCATTTTGTACACAACTAGATGGTGTGGCTACCTGGCTGCACTCTGTGACGTCATCACCTGGATCTGGGTGATGCGCGCTCAAATTCGCACATGTTCGATTGGGCGTATCTGACGAACCATAGGCCGCAGCCTCCTCGGACAACGACTAATCTACTCAGCGCCCCGAACTCCCCGGACTGTGAAATTTAAATTTTTCACCGGACTTCCCCTTTTTAAAAGGCTGAAGTCAAAATTTCACCAGTTGTAGTCTTCAGGGTGCTGAGTCGAATGGTTGTGGTCCGAGGAAGCTGAGACGCTCCCTTCCTACTATAAGCCCAATCGAACTCGTGCACTTCCACCGAAACTGGGTGACTGCGCCCTACTAGATGGGGATTTATATGCAAAATTTCACTAAAAGCGCCATTTCGTTCTTAAAAAAGCACGAATGACCGCGATTGGCCCATGTGTTGTAGTCTTTTGGACGCTGAGTCGACTGGTTTTGGTCCGAGAAATCTGCGATGGAGCGCTCCTCCTTTATTCCTAATCGAACATGGTTGAACAAGCGGTCACGTGCTCCTGCGTGCCCAAGTCACCTGGTCACAGCGCCAGCAGGCAACAAGTTTCGCACCAAGGTTCAACTCGAGTTCAACTCGAGTGACAGGACTGCACCCCAAACAGGTCAAACAGGCTAGTAAGTTGTACCCTGCAGGCACGGTGACCAGGTGACTGGTGTACGCAGGAGCACGTGACCGCTTGTTCAAGCATATTCGAATGGGAATAAGGGCCGAACGCTGCATCGCAGCCTTTTTGGACCAAAACCAGTCGACTCAGCGGCCAAAAGACTACAACATATGGGCCAATCGCGGTCACCCAGTTTCGGTGGAAGTGCGCGAGTTCGATTGGGATTAAAGCAGGAAGGGAACGTCTCAGCTTCCTCGGACCAAGACCATTCGACTCAGTACCCCGAAGACTACAACTGGTGAAATTTTTATTTTAGCCTTAACTTCCCCTTGAAGAATGTTATCCATTTCTACATCACTCATGATGTGCCACGTTTGTTTTGGTGTGGTTTGTTGGGTGTATATGTACAACAGATGGTGACCGACGTCCGTGACTGTTTCTTTTGTCGCAGTCATGGCTGCAGCAGAGGTATGAATTGTCCACACGTCATTGCTTTGCCAAATTCTGAAAAAGTTGTCTCAAAGACATTTTCCAGTGTGCACACACATACACACATGTTTGCATGCGCACAGACACTTGCACATGCAAACACCCCCCCCCCCCCCCCACACACACACACAAACACACACATACAATATATACACACGCATGCACGTACACACACACACACACACACACACACACACACACACACACACACACACATGCACGTACACATACACACACACACACACACACACACACACACACACACACACACACACACATGTACCCGCTCCATGCTATCATTGGATGGTTAAAACTTGTGCCAATACGTGTAAAGGGCCATCTGGTATTATTGATTATCTTCAGCGAACAGTATTAAATGCTTCAATGTGGCCTACCTCAGCCAACCAGGCCCCTGAAATGGCAGTGGCCAAACGCAAGCAATAAGCCCATACGAGTATATCTGCAGCTAGCCAGGGCTGTCTCGTCCCCCGATGAACACTTGATAAACACAGCACAGATCTCAGTGCCAGGAAAAGAAAACAGAACTTGCATGGCACGAGGTGTGCTGCTAAGTACTGGTCGTAACCAGGGAGTTGTTAAATACCGGTATTTTACGACTCCCTGGTCGTACCTTACTGGCAGCTTCTGTGATTCTCAGCTCATGGTATGCTAGTCCTTGGCAGATACTGCGGGCAGAATTTTTTGTCTTCAAAATTTGGTACTTTTGTGGACGTTTTCATGCATGTTTGGTATGTGGATAAAGAAATGGAGCAGAATTCAAGGCAAGGTGAAGTGCCTGCCATAAGTTTTGTATGGTTCTGCCAATTTCACTGCTTTTCAAGCAGAATCTGCCAATTTCACTGCTTTTCAAGCAGAATCTGCCAATTTTTTCGAGCATTATCCGCCAAGGTCGACTGTATGCACTCTGTATGTTGTTATTGCAGAACCACGCGGTCAACACATGGCCATGGTCAAGCCAGATGTTCCGCAAGTGGATCCCACGCCTCCAAACAGCGCTCAGCTGCGATGCAATTCGTGTTGAATGCTGTGCCAAGCGGTTGATCTCCGATGCGCAGAAGAAGGAATTGATGGCGATAAAAGATTCGGCCAAACACAATGACCGACTGCTAGATATGCTGAGCAGGGGTACAGCTGAGACTTTCCACACCTTCTGTAGTATTGTGCGTAGCACCGAACCTGAAGAAAACTTTTCAAAGTTCCTAGATGACATGCAGTCAGTGGATACCTTTGTTGGAGGTAAGTAGAAATGTTATCAGTCAGGTGACTGAGAGACACTCACAGAATTGTACATAGGGGGTGTAGCTCAACCATCTGTGGTGTAGTGACCATGTACCACCGGCAACCTCATAGCCGCCATTTTGCCTGTTAAGACTATGTAGTAGGTATGACGACCATTTTCTGGTGTACTGACCGGACTATGCAGACTATACAGGAGCTACACACCTGCCTGTACATGTACAGACAATACTGCATGTCCTTGAGTTGCTTTGCTACATATCTGTACAGGGCATATTGATGGCACCAACCTGCGTTGAAGTTTTGCAAAGGTGCTTGTCACGGTGTGTGTGTGTTTGTGTGTGTGTGTGTGTGTGTGTGTGTGTGTGTGTGTGTGTGTGTGTGTGTGTGTGTGTGTGTGTGCGTGTGTGTGCTCCTTGGGAGCAGGTTACACTTTCTGAGCTCCGTGTTCTTGGCTTTCTCCCAAGTTTTCTGCCTGCCCAGGGCGACTCTGGCGTAGCCAGAGTCGACCCTGGAGCACCCTCGCACACTGCCAAGGTAGTGCTGCATGATTGGAGCGCGGAATCGCGATGTAGCTTGCAGGACAATTTACTTTGATATTGTCACTGCTGCGTCGGCCGTGGTCCACCACTCGCAGTGGAGTAGCTGTCCCTCGAGTGCTATGAAGAATCCAAGCTCGAAGAATGCAGTGGTGGGAATTGCGGATTGGCTGGTGGAGTGCTGGAACAACTCGTTGTTTTCAGTGGAGTGGACGAGCGAGTGCGGAGAGGAAGGTCCCGATGGCGGAATGGTGGGAATTGAAACTTCAATCTTTCGTCGTCATGAGTGCACTGGTCAAGCGTTGTGGAAGTCTGTCGGATTTGTGAGGCCTTGCCTTGCCGCTTACATCGTCAACGTGGAAGAACTGCGAGTGGAGTCCTGGTGGGATTTCGGATGCCCACACTCCTTTTGCTTGGTGGATTCTTTCGTGGACAGTGTTTTTTCGTGACGTGAAATTTTGAATTTTTTTTCCTTCCTGTTCATTTTCAGTCGTTGGCACTGTAGCTGTCAGGTTGTTGTTACAGTACAGCAGTCGTCCGTTCTGCTCCATTGTTTCATCTGTTTTGCCAGTTCTGCTAGCTGATTCTATTTATTTGCCACTGCCCCTCATAGTGCTCATGCTTGGGTGGAGGGCGGCGTGACCCGTTTAGGGTAGCTGTATCATAGTAGTAGTAGTAGTAGTGTGTGTGTGTGTGTGTGTGTGTGTGTGTGTGTGTGTGTGTGTGTGTGTGTGTGTGTGTGTGTGTGTGTGTGTGCATGAACCTGTTTGAAGGCTACCTTCTTGCCAAAGCACTAGTTTCGGCTCCACAATCCAGTGTGTCGTTACTATATAGCTTTCATGGCTGAGGTTGTTGGTATGTCTGTTGGCTCTGGGTTCCCAGTACTCCTTAGCCGAGGCTGGTTGGTAAAGTAACTCCAATTTCACTTCAATGACATTAGGTACCAGTGCATCTAGTGTCTGCTTTTATCAAAGCAGCGTGCTGTCTATACTGGTTACCCCAGCAAGTGTAGTGTGTGCATAGGTAACTGTCTTGGCCGTTTTATGCCGATGTACTCCGTGTGGTGTAGACCAGGTGTGCATTGGTGGGCGATTCACGTGGCTTCGCCAGTTGTGTGGAGTAGACAGTTATCTGGCGCAAGTCTTGATCTGTCTCATTCAGATCTTGTTTGCTATCGTTGCTATAAGAGAAAATCTGTGGGTGCACATGCAGTGCATTTGCAGATTTCTGTGCTTCTCTTGCGACGGGCGTATACATTGTCCATGGTACATCAGGGGCGTCACCCGTGATGGGCACGGGGGGCACGTGCACCCCCCTAAAAAATTCGACCTTGTTTTTTTGCGAACTCCTGGTTATGAAAAGTGTAGTGCATGCTGGTAGAATCTACTAATAAACTGCATGCACTAAAACTAGTTGTACTGCGCTGCCGCGATTGCGTGACGCGGCGTGAGTGCATGTAGCGAGTGCAAGTACATGACCAGTAAGGCAGTACGACTCGTAGACTAGTTACACTTGTTACACTGAAATGGCACCGAATCATGGCAAATGCCTGAAAATGTGCTTGCAATTGCCTTCAATTTTTGAAATTTTTTCCCGGGGGAGGATAATGAAGAATTCTTGTCCCCGATCGTAGCGTCTTCTTGGCTTGTTGCAGAATCAAAAAGTCTTTCATTGTAGTTACACTAAAATGGCACCAAATGCCTGGAAATGCTTGCCATTGGCTTCAATTTTTGTATTTTTTCCCCGAGGAAAGCCCACGTACCCCATGGCCGCCCCACCTCCAAAGTCGGTGCGACGGGCCTGCTATCAGCGAACTTTTTCGTGTTTTCCTGTGCAAAATTCCTGTGCACCCCTGTGAAGGGGTCCGGTGACGCCCCTGGTACATGGTGTATGCATGCAAGGAGGCATTTTGCGAGGCTGTGAAATGATTCGGCTATGTACTGTTCTCTGTGTCCTCTCGAACACAGGCAATGAAGATGCAGCAAATAGAGTAACTCGACGTCAACCAGCCCGGTTCACCGGGAACCCACCACCTTCACCCAGCCAAGCAACTCGGTCTCCGCCAGCCATAGCACCCAAACCAAAGCCTGCTGTTAAACACCGGGCTACTCACGCATCTCCCCCCAAGCCCACCGGCATCTCTGCAATGATAGCGGCCTTCAATTCAGCCGGCCAGGAACAGAAACTGGCTGGAACTCAACCTTCAAAACCTAGTCTAGCCCCCCAGCCTCCTACTCGCCCAAAGCCCGCCACTCCCCACAACACAGCAAGAACAGTGGAAACTAAGGATCCCACTACGGTTCACAGAGTGCAGCCGGTAGTGACTTCTGATCCTGTGTCTCCTTCACGACCACCGCTCTGTGACCACACACGACTAGCCGCTGGCGGTAACCAATCAATGGGCACTCAGGCAGCGACATCTGCCCTAGCTGATCCCAAGCCCTCTCCGAAACCTAGACAAGCTGCTCTTTTCAGGTCTGCTAGTGTCTCTACACTAGCATCTGGTTTTGAATCGGATAGGTACGAAGCAGTCAGACTGCCCTCGGATCAAGCCCCAAAGCCCAAACCGCGCCAAATAGCCATCACTGGTGCCAGGGCAGCTAGCTTGGCCAGGAGCCCAGCCATAGCTGTGCAGCAAGTCCAGCGGTCAGCACTGCCAACAGAGGGCTTAGCTGCCAAGCCCATTGCCCTGCCTACGACTGGAGGCTTGTCGATCGCCAAGAATGCAACAGGAGATTCAGCTACGCCTCCGCAGCCCAACTCTCTGGTAAGAGATATAAAATTATATATAAGTGACAGGAGTCGCAGTGTGTGTTTACTTACCGTATTTGCCGGAGTATAACGCACACCCCCATTTTAAGTAATGTTCTGGCAATTCAAGGTATATCCGGAGTGTAATGTGCAGCTTAGATTTGAAAGCATTATTAATCATAAAGACAGAACGATAGTGCTACCATTGTCATAAAAAAGTGCATTCGGGTGGCTTATGCAGAGTCAGAGGCGGCACACTTCGTAGCAGTTTGATGCATTGCACTACTTTTCGAAGTACAATCATGTTCATTTTTTTAATTTCATATTCGGAGCATTGTGCGCACCAGCGATTTGGGGCCAGGAGTAATTCCTCCAAAGTGCACTCTATACTCTGGCAAATATGTTATATTGATATAATGGAAAACTGAAGTCTGCATAGAGTAGAATCAACATCAATCCACACTCCTTGCATTTTTCTAGGGTGGTGAGTTGATGATCAGATCCATGAAAGCAACTGTACACTCATACCTTGTTTTTCCGGGCGGTCCGGGACCGGGAACTTCCCGGAACTTTGAAATTTCTGTTACTCCGAGCCGCACATGTTTTGATGGGGACATGCGAGAGATATGGGTTTTTCGCACAACGCCACTTGCTGCCGCTTATCTGCACCAACTATGACGTAATCGCAGAACTTCACCGTGATAGACATCCATGCAGAAAAATAGTCACACTCTGCACACTCTGGGTTTCATGTACTCTTGGGGCACATCCTGTGTCATGTGATCAAGAGAGTCGTAGGCTGTGGGGAGACGGCACAGGCAACTCTAACCCTATATCTCTTGGGTTTCGACCCTGGGTGGCTGTTCACAGTCACCCTTGAGAGGGTGCCGATTTACTATAAACACGTTATTGTCGGTCAGGATGTAACTTTGATTTCAGTGATTTCGGTAGAGAAAGCAGGTACCTAAATTAAAATTAGATAACACCAAAAAGGGACTACACACGTAGAGTGCATACTGTACGTGAAGGGAAAGCTCGTCACCTATAGTCTGTTTCAAAAAGATTTACAATCAGGTTTGGGTCTTAAAAAGTATGAAGATAAGGGAAATTTGGACAACAAAGTACATAGAATGGCTTGTTAGGACACGGCAAATTGTTCTGTGAAGATTTCGGAACAATTGGACCAGCCGTTAAGGAGTTAGAATTTCGGCCAGGTTTCCGGCCTTTTCCCATGGTTTACAATTTGCCCAGGAAGCCAGTATCGATTTTTTTATCAAAACCCACGATTTATCCTTTCCTTTTTGGCCTTGTGGTTATGAATGCTGTCTGCTGACCATGAAGTTGTGAGTTCAAATCCCAACCTATCCTCAAGTCAAACTTCTTTTTTATTGTTTTGGTGATCAAGCTGATACAAGACAAAGAAGATGGCTGCACCAAACGACTTGTTGTTGGAGGTCGCGCTTCCTGCCGAACTGACTGACACTTGACTGGCTCACGCCATGTGAACACACCCACAACACTGCAATGGTATGAGTGAAT